TGTAGGCGTATAACATTGGATGACGTTCACTGAAATGCCCTCTTTGTTTTGAAGGAAGCTTTGATGATCCTATGTTCATGAGATTCGCATCCTGTAAGTGTATTTTGTACTTGCCTACATAGCATCAATGCAACTCCCTGTGTATGTGAGGCATTTTCTCCTTCATGGCCAAAGTATAACAGCAGCTCCACTGAAGCTGGTCTTTGTTGTACAACTTGAGTCCAATGAGTTTCACTGATCCCAAGCACCTCCAGGTTGTATCCTCTCATTTCTGCAGCAATTTGAAAGACTCTCGCGGTCTCCCCCACTGTACGAGCACCCCATGTACCTAAATTAATGGTTGCTCTGGTTGTCAGAACGGGCATCGGCCTCGTGGCTTTCGAAGGAATTCGGCTTTTATCATGAGGCGGCATAACTCTGCTAAATGAAGGCATTCAAACTTCCAGGGTAGAGTTTAAACGGATTGAATTATTTTTTGTGGTAGCCTTCTTTCAGCGAGTTGGTTTTCTACGAGATGTGGTCGCTAACTCTATACCAATGCTCCTTTTTTGTCCAGGCTTGAGACTGGTAGTATCCCGAGGGGTCTCCAGGCTGAATTTCAAAGTAACCGTAGCACTTAGATGTAACGAAAAAAAATAATCCACGTTGGGTGATTTCGCCTTTGTTTGGTTGAGCACACCACTCCCGTCTAACTCAGGTGGGTCCTCCAATTATTAACATACATCAATTACGTTGGTGATCTGCATTGAAAATATGAGTGATGGAAAAAACTATCCACAAAATAAGTTTGTGCTAACTACCTCCGCAAGGATTAAACAAGTGATAGTACATCCAGTGTCGATGATGGTCATTTTGTTTCGCACAAAAACATCTAATAAATGAGAGAAACGATAGTAGAACGTGATTGACTCGAAAACAATCACAAATAACTGAATTCAAACATCTAACTATGTTTCACCAAGACTAAGTAGCGAGAAGGCTGTAAACATTTGGTGGAGGCAAGTGTTGAATCTGAATACCCTAACTACGGAAAGCGCCAACCGGTTAATCATAGCTTACCAAGACGATGTTGATGCACGCGTTTCAAAAAGGGCGGTGATTTTGTACTTCTTGTGATTACCCTTGCTTTTGTGTACTTGTTGCATCAAAGCATTCTTGGTCTGCATTATATTAAAATTTTGAAATCTCGCTCAAGTTTGTCTTGTGGTAGCTTTTTACTTATTGACTGACACTTGTGTTCATATTGTGATCATATTGTACTATAAACTTTATTCTGACTACAATGTTTGGTAGTACTTACAAATGTGGACAACCAAACTGTTCGTTCCTTGTGGAGGAAGGAATGCAGTGTGATGAATGCAAAAAGTGGTTCCATAAGGTGTGTGCCCGTTTAAGTCCCACCGCATACAAAAGATGCTTGAAACCTTACTCGCATTGTCTTTGCATATTTTTCTGTGTAAACAAGATGGTACTAATACAGGAGTCTATTAGCCCCTTGACTTTGGTCTCCGTTAACATTAACGAAGGGGGTAGTACTAACTGACATCGACATTGGTAACCATGCACCTCCGGTGGAAACTGAAGATCTGGATAAAACCGTCACCGCTCCAAATAGTCCCAGTGTCCTGAGGGATGAAAAATGGACTACAGTACGGAGAAAACGAAACGAAAAGAAAAAGGCTGTAGTCAGTACGCAGGTAGTTATTAAGCCATTGGTGGACTCCCATTATGAGTCGCGAAATGCACTGCCAAAGTCTGATAGTAAAAGAGAAACACACCCTGGCGTGACTGAGAAGGAGAATTAAATCTCATCGAATATTATTGTGAGCAAATTGCTGGAGTCAAACGACCCTGATCCCCAAACTAGACACGCGCATAATTTAGAGAAGCTGGGAGAATATATTCGTGGTATCTTACCAGATAACTCTAAAACAGGTAGAAAAATTGGTTAAAATAGGCAAGAGGACTGAGGACAATTTTGAACCCTAACCATGCAAACTCCTTAAGGTAAACCTAGGATCGGAGAAGCAACGTGATCTCCTGTTAAGCAGCGCTCGTAGTCACGAAAATTCCGACATCTCTTGAAGATAGAACAAAATGGAAGAAAGCACCAGCTGAACTAGAAACCCGTCGACAAAGCGGTGAAGAAAATCTACGGTTAGTGGGTTTCCGGAGAGTCAGGTCTTGGAAGTGAATGCTACCAAGGCCTGTGTGCATAAGCCGTTCTACCTAGGAGTTTTATATGCTAACGCTCGTGGTCTAAGAAATAAGTTTTATGAACCAGAAGAATTGGTGGACAAATTAAGGCCACTCATTGTAGCAGTGACAGAAACTTGGTTAATCCATGACTTAAACATTACTCCAGAAATATCCGGATACCATTACCTAAAGAGTGATAGACATAGATGTAGAAAATGTGGCCTCCTTTTATATATAGCCAGTAATATAAACATCCGCTCTACTGCTAACAAATCCCATGATAACGGTACTTGTGAAGTCATTGGCTGTAAATTGGCTATCGGATTTAGTACATCTATGCTCGGTGTCATCTATCGCAGCCCAATCTACTTAGCTGATGACTTTATTTTAGAGCACATTCAACTACGGAGTGCAAATAACAGATGCTTGATAATAGGAGACTATAATGTATTGATATTAGTTGGACTGAGATGACCATGGAAGGATCTATGAACTCCTTTGATAGCAGGTTCCTGATAACAATAATGGAGCATGCATTAGTGCAGCATGTATCCGAACCCACACGTTTTGGTGCTAACCAAGGTTCTTCTCTGTTGTACTTAATAATCACTCATGAGACCGAGGATATTGTCGACCTAAATATTCTTTCACCGTTAGTGAACAACGATCACGCTGTTTTGTCATTCACCGTTAGAACTAGGGACATGATATACGATCAGGTTACACCCCGTCCAAATGTATGGAAAGCTAACATACCAACCATTTAGGAATGCGCTGCTAAGACAGATTGGTTAGTAGATACTAGCATGTCAGTTGAAGAAGCATGGTCTGTATTTAAAGGTAAGCTTAGTTTGGTTACGTCCTTGTCCATACCATACCTGGTGCCGCGAAGACCGAGTAACAGTCCACTATGGATAACTAAACCAGTCAGGAAACGTCTTAGAAGAAGGAAGAAGAAGTGGGATATATTCATTTCCACTGGCTTAGAACAATACAGGTCTAGTTATTGTAAGATTAGGAATACCTGTAAAGCGTTAATAAGTAAGATTAGACGATCATATGAAAAACAATTGGTTAGGGATTCTAGATACAGTCCCAAACGGTTATTTTCGTATACAAAAAGGTAAACTCAGAGAAACAATGGAGTTCCATCAATTTTGATACAAGAAAATCCCTTAATCTTGGCAGAAAATGATACCAAAAAAGCTGAAGCTTTATCGGGATATTTCAGTAAAGTGTTTTCTATCGGTAATGAGGAATGACCAACGATTAATTGTGATCGCAGCGGCTCGCTGATGGACCATGTTGTCATTGAGCAAGGTACTGCTTTAAGGCTACCTCAGCATCTCAAATCTGATAAGTCTAGTGGTTCTGATGATATTCATCCTAGGATTATGAAATCTATATCAGATGTAATTGCTGAACCATTAGAGAAACTGTCTGACATGTCTCTAAGGCAGTCCAGACTGCCCAGAGACTAGAAAAACGCTATAATAAGTCCGGTGCATAAGGCTGGGAGTAGGGGTTTAGTTACTTACTAGAGGCCCGTTAGCTTAACTAGTGCAGTTGTAAAACTGATGGAAAAAATCATTTGGATATCTGCTATAAACCATGTTGAATGGCATAATCTTTTCTCCAGGGCACGGCATGGTCTTCGGAGAAGCCTATCATGTTTGACAAATCTTCTCATTGCAAGAGAAGATTGGGCTGCTTCAGAAGACCAGAATATTCCTGTGGATGTGATCTTCATAGATATAAAGTCTCCCATTTTGGTCTTAAATTCAAACTGGAACGTTTTGGATCCCATTCTATAGTCTTAGATTGGATAAGTAACTTTCTCCATGACAGGCTACAAAGGGTAAGGTTTAAGAGGGCCCTCTCTTCTTGGGTACCTGCGAAAAGTGGAGTTCTCCAAGATACACTCCTCGGCCCTTTTCTCTTCTTACTCTATGTAAATGAATTAGGAAAATCATCCGCTCTACTCTTCACTGATGACACAAAAATTTGGAGACCCATACACAGTATGTCAGATAGAATAGTATTACAGAATGATATTAGCTCATTGGTGGCATGGTTGTACAGGTGGTCACTAGAAGTAAATCCTAATAAGAATGTGGTGATGCGATTAAATAACTATGATGAATCGTATCACCATACAATACGTGGATTCGTGTTACCCAAGGTAAGGAACTAGAAAGATTTGGGAGTCATATTAAGCAGTGAATTCAAAACCACTAGTCACTGTAAGGCTGCTGCTACGAAAGGCTATGGGGTATTATGGTCTATTCGTAGGTCTTTCCAGTATTTAGATGATGAAATGTTTAAATTATTATAATCGATTTACGTGCTACCACATTAATCGGATCCAAGCTGTGCATCCTTGTTTCGAGTATGAAGCAGATATGCTAGAAAGAGTCCAACGACGTGGTAATAAGATGGTAAAAGCTCTACCTGGACTATCTTATAAAGACAGACTGAGACCCCTAACTTATTTCCGTTATCTTACCATAGAAAACGGGGTGATCGAATATTGGCTTATCGTATACTGAACGACGACCTTGATATGAACATGTCTTATCTTTTACTTCCGTCCAGGACTGATCATTTAAGAAAACATTCAAAGAAAGTTCAAAAACCGAGATCAAATCGTTTACGTCTGGAGTTTTGTTTCTCGCACCGAGTAGCGAAGTACTAGAATTCTCTACCGGAACACGTTCTATCAGCACCTTCCGTTGATATATCCAAATTGAGATTGGACTTCCTCAGTATTACTGAAGACTGAATATTGCTTCTTCGTTTCACCTGTCTGACCTTGGCGGTCGTTCCCTTGTTGTTGCTAAATATTTAAAACATTGTTCGTAAAAATGAGTACAAATTGTAGGCAAGGGAAAGTTGAGGTTAGTGGTAAGTATTCATGTATGCCAAGCATTTTTTATAAATCACCTTCAAAAAACATCAAGATCACTCGCTATTATCTGAATTTAATCAAGATGTTTGTCTTCAGCTTATTAATGGTAAGAAGGTCGGAAAGGGTATGTTTACATTCTGCTCATTAAATTTAAATATTTTCGAAATTCTAAAGATTCTCAAGACCATAGTCATAGTATTTTGAGTAATTATTTCACTGAAGAAATAACTTCGGACGATCCATTCGGTTCTGTTTGTGACTCAATTCCTAATGAATTGGTAAGAGTGGTCAGTTTCTTAATTCATTTTACACTTCGTTAAAAAGTTATTGCAATGGAGTTTTCAATTTTTGGTTTTGGCACTTGCTGACAGACTTGTATAATGAACAATAGTTCATGTCTGTTGTATAATAACTAGTAACTTGACCTGGTTACTGGTATTCGGTTACATGGGAAAAATTCTGAACCTTGTAATCAGTAATTAAAAAAGAGGAGTATGGTCTTTCTTCCAAGCGTAGGTCATGAGGTAACAGCAGCTCTATCGACCATTATGTTTTTATCGACATTCAGAACCAGCTCTTGATGATTTGTTACTTTCTCTTGAATTTTGGGTTATTGTAAAAGGGTTTCCAATAATTTGAGTGGAAGCTTATTAAAAACCTGACTACATCAGCTATTTCTGAACCATCTCAACTCAGCTTCAATCCCATATACTACTTTGCTGGACTCTATAATTTGTTTATCAACATATCGCAGATAAATTATCCAGATCACTCACTAAAAAGTTTTGTCAGGTAGCAATGTACAATATAAGATGTTTTTATGAGAACTTCAAGTCAATAATTAGGAAAGGTATATCAACAATAATGGGTTATAACCGTAAGAAAGAGATTATAACATATATGCTTATTATTGCCCCCCCCCCAATGCCCTGGTACGGCCGAGAGTGGGGAGAGTCCGTTCTCCCTCTCGAAATACTCGCACACGGCCGCGCGTATACAGCCTCTGCCAGGGAAGTCCTACTCATTGCCTTCTCGTGGCGGGGGTGTTGTTTACGGAAATGAGAGGACGAAAAGCGAATGTCCGGCGCTTTACCCGGATCCCAAACCAATGGTGCACATGGGCTCCAGTATCCTGCGGGAACAAATGGCGTATGAACCAATCGTTGGTCACCGACTACCATGGGATTGCATCTCCTTACGATGCTCTACTGCCTTGTTGGTTAGACCATTAGGTCAAAGGCTCGGGGTGTGGCCCCCTAAGATAACCACCTGCTTCGGTTTGGGCACCCGGGCAGTATCACAGCCCACACACAAACGATGAACTCTATGTCTATGGCAACTACTTTTCTCGCTCCTAAAAACAATCAATCGATTCAAATAATTATCATTACTATTGTCATTATTAATATTATTATTATTACCATTATTGTTATTATTATTATTATTATTATTATTATTATTATTATTATTATTAGTTTCCACATTATTCACCCTCTTTTATACTTATACAGCGGCTCGTCTTCGTTGGAAATCCGACTGTAAACGTTCTCGAGTCACTGTCCGGTTGAAAATTGTATGTTACCATCGAATATGAGTACTGAAGCAGTTTTTCTGAAACCACATGCGCCATTCAAACTGGCTGCCTTCAACGTTCGCACACTAGTGCAGGTCGGACAACAGATAGGGCTGGCTATGTCTTTGGAAAGTCTTAATATTGATGTTTGTTGTCTATCCGAGACCCGTATTCAAGACTCTGGCGAAGTACTACAAATTCGATCTCCATCTGTCGCTTCGAAAAGCTTGTTTTACGTGCGCTTATCCGGGGACCCTGTGGCATCTTCGTCTGGTCTTGCTGGCGTTGGTGTCGCACTAAGCGCTAGAGCTGAGGCAGCACTAGTCGATTGGAACCCCAATAACAGTCGGTTATGTGCTGTTAGATTAGAAAGTTCCATCAAAGTGAGAAGAAATCGGCGTGAGAAACGATGTCTTTTCGTCATCTCCACCTATTCTCCGACAGATTGCAGTCCGGATGCAATCAAGGATGAGTTTTACCACCAGTTGTCTGTTCTTCTCCAGAAAGTGCGCTCGACAGATATTGTAGTACTAGCCGGAGACTTGAATGCTCAGGTCGGGTGTCTAGGCACAGAAGAGAGTCGTTTAGGTGGCCGATGGGGACTCGTTGGTCGCAGGTCAGATAACGGGGACCGTCTACTGCAACTTTGCACAGACCACAACCTGTTTCTGGCTAGCACTAACTTTCTGCACAGTCATCGCCGATGTGCCACCTGGCGTCCTCCCTCTGCATCTCAAGCCTGAACTCAGATTGATCACATCGCGATCAGCTTCCGCTGGCGTGGTTGTGTACAAGACTGCCGCTCCTTTTGGAGTACCTATCTGGACTCTGACCATGCCTTGGTCTGCGCCAATCTTGCCTTACTTTTCAGTGGACAACGAAGTGACCGCCAGCAAAGGATTGATATTAGCAAACTGGTTGCAACTTCTGTTGCAAATAAGTATCGAACCGAGCTAGCTTCTAGGCTAGCTATCACTCCACCGAAAAGTATAGATGGGCATTGGTTGCAATTGCATGGCGCCATGAAAATGGCGGGAACAGTCAGTTGTGGGTTTGCGAAACGTCCCGCTTATAAGCACTGGGTTTCTTCTGGTTCCTTACAACTTATTGAAGCCCGTCGGTCGACTCCGGGTGACCGTGAGTTTGACCATAAACGAAGGATGTTACGTAAGGAATTTGGGCAAAGCTTGCGTAAGGACCGAGAAGCCTGGTGGTCAGAGCGTGCTAATGAGATGGAAGCAGCAGCTGCATCTGGTAACTACCGGAAGCTCTTCCAGCTCATCCGAGCCACTAGAAGCAAGAAGTCTGGTGTGAGTGAAACAATCTGCGAGGATGATGGGATGCCAATCACTAACATCCATCGACGTCTTGGACGATGGGCAGAATTTTTCGAAGGGCAGTTCAACTGGCCTGCTGCTCCGGCAACATCGGTCAGACTGTCCTGCCCTCCATGGCCGGTGACGACTGATCCACCAAACGAGGAGGAAGTCCGCAAAGAACTCCAACTCTTGAAGCGTTACAAATCACCTGGCCCAGATGACTTACCTCCGGCCTTTTTTTAAAGATGGTGGTGACTTTTTGACTAAGGAATTGACGACGTTGTTTACAAAAGTTTGGGAACTAGAGAGTGTACCAACGTCATGGAATGAGTCGATAGTTGTCCCTATCTTTAAAAAGGGTTCACGTCGTTCCTGTAACAACTATCGGGGGATAAGTCTACTTCCGATTGCGTCCAAGCTATTGGTTTCCGTCATACTTCGTAGGTTGTTCAAAACCCGAGAAAGATTGACTCGCGAGGAGCAGGCTGGGTTTCGTTCTTGTCGAAGATGTATCGATCATATCTTCACCCTCCGCCAAATGTTAGAACATCGCCATACTTATCAAAGGCCAACAATCGTAGTGTTTCTTGACATCAGGGCTGCCTTCGATTCGTTGAACAGGACTGTTCTCTGGGATTGTCTATTGAAGAAGGGTGTGCCTGAGAAGTTTATTAACATCCTAAAAGCCCTATATAAAAACACCTCAGGCAGAGTGAGGGCATACAACCACCTCTCTCCATTGTTCTATACGAGTAGTGGGGTTAGGCAGGGTTGCACAATCTCACCATTCCTCTTCAACTTTTCCATCGATGACATTCTGGAAACAGCTCTGATGAATGTAAGTAATGGTGGTGTGGATCTGTTGCCTGGAGAAAGACTTCTCGACCTTGAGTATGCGGATGATATTGTCTTACTGTGCGATAATGCCCAAGGCATGCAATCCGCACTTAATCAGTTGGCAATCAGTGTCCGTAGGTATGTTATGTGCTTTGTACGTTCTAAGTGCAAAGTATTTCTACAAGACTAACAGGATTCCAATCCTGTACTCACCGTGGATGGTGAGCAGATAGAAATAGTCGAGAAGTTCGTGTATCTAGGTAGGTGTATAAGTGCTGGTGGGGGTGTGAGTGGTGAGATCAATGCACGTATAGTGAAAGCCAGAGCGGCTTATGCCAATCTGGGCCATCTTTGGCGCCTTCGTGACGTTAGTCTCACTGTAAAAGGTCGGATCTACAACGCGTCGGTGAGAGCAGTTTTGCTCTATGCTTGTGAAACCTGGCCTCTCCGAGTTGAGGACGTTAGACGACTCTCTGTGTTCGATCATCGCTGTCTCCGAAGGATTGCTGACATTCAGTGGCAACACCATGTCAGTAATGCAGAGGTTCGGCATCGTGTGTTTGGGCACAGAGATGATAATTCAATTGGTGTCACCATCTTGAAACACCGACTTCGGTGGCTTGGACATGTTCTACGAATGTCGTCCCAGAGAATTCCACGTCGTGCATTATTTGCCGACTCTGGGACTGGTTGGAAAAAGCGGAGAGGTGGTCAGTGCATGACATGGTGTCGTGGTATGAAAGAAAGCTGCAAAGGACTGGCTTGTGTTGGTCCTTCACGACTCCCTGGTTGGGGTCCGAGTGATGGTGCTACACAGTGGCTAGAGACGTTATCAGATATGGCTCAGAATAGAAGCCAGTGGCGATCCTGCTGTAACCTTCTTTTACTTTCTTCATAAAAAGTGATTGTCTCCCTTACCTGAAAGATTTCTTCCGATTGTACCTTTGCGTTCCCTGATCTACTAGCACATTACCTTACACCAATCTTTTCGTTATTGTTCTCTCTTTTTTTGCGCTCCTTAGCTTTTTCTTTCTTTCTTTGTATTCCTCTTTGAATTTTCATTGTTTGTGTGGCGCATATATATTGGCGCTCTCTTGTACCAATATTCATGTGTCCGAATAAATAAATAAATTCGGTTTGGGCACCCAGGCGGTATCCCAGCCCTCACACATCGAATTATTTATGTGGCACATATCTTTTTGATGCCTCCTTGTACTAATGTTTGTGTGTTTGAATAAATAAATAAAAATAACAGCGCTAATCATAAAAACTAGACACTAAATATATGGTTTGGAAAGACTCGACGCAAGAGTACTTAAAATCAAGATCTAGAGTAAGATAAAGAATGAATGCATTTGATAGTATCATGAAACATCAGCAATTAGTTTCAGATGTCTCGCGCACCCCAAACAGGTAATCTGAGTCTAAGAACATGGGTCAAATCGGTAAGTCAGTCATTATTTATTATTTATTTATTTATTTGAGCACATAAATATTGGTGCAAGAGAGCGCCAATATATATGCGCCACACAAAACAATGAAAATTCGA